GCAAAAGGAGAACTATTCTCAAGTTAGATTGTTGATTAGGACAAATCTATTGATTTGATTCTAATCAAACGATTTGGGGAAATTTTAATGAAGTTTTCCCAGTTACTTTGAATTAAAAGAGGCAAGCTTGAAGCTAGACGGATGGCTCTGCATGTAAGAGCACTTACTGCCCTTCCAGAGGACCCAGGGTTGGTTCCCAGCACCCATCGATATTGGGTGTCTCACAATCGCCTATAGTTCCAGCTCCAGGGGATCTGATATCTTCTTCTGGATCTCTCAGGTACCTGCACTCACAGAGTGTACAAACCCACACACAGATACACATACACACATTATATTAAGAATAAATTGAAAATCAAAACAAGAAACAAACAAAAACAAAACATGCTGGGTATGGTAATCCCAGCACTCAAGAGGCAGAGGAGGGTAGATCTCCATGAGTTTGAAGACATCCTGTTCTACATGTCAAATTCCAGGACAGCCAAGGTTACATAGTGAGACCCTAGAGAGGTGAGGAGGCACTTAAGATTTTTAGAGGCCATCTTGTTCTTACTATACTGTCTCTTACAAAAGTTTCTTTCTGTGGTGCTTAAAAATAAGGTTGGAAGCTGTGTGTGTGCATGGTGGGCATGTGCCACTGTTGCAGATTTTGATATCGTTGACTTCACACACACACACACTATTCATTAGGGAAATAAACATTTTACAGTGTCATTGGTCGCTATGACAAGGTGACTCGGAGTTACAACTTTTATCCTTTCCAAACTTCAAGCTCTAGATCAAGTATTTACCCTCCCTGGGCCTGCTGTAATTAGAAGGACAAGTAGGTAGTACAAATGAATGAAAGTGGTGGCTACAGTAAATGATGAGTTATCACTTAAATATTACTAAGATGCTCTTGTTTCTGGTAATGTGGCATTTAAAGGTTCCTATTTATTTAATGAATGCTGTTTATTTTATAGGTGTCTTTATTGAAAGCTCACAGTCACTCACTTTACTTTCATCCTTAGGTAGTTCAGAACACCTACAGCTTCTGGCTCGCTGGACTTTACTTCCCTAACCTAAACTTCATGAGGGACTTAACCTATTTGATTGACCCTTCTATGCTATATACTTGCTCATAATTTCGTTGTGCAATTTTTGTCAAATGTGACAATATTAATAAAAATGCTTTTATTAATTCTTTGGGTGTTTTTTGAGATAGTGTCTTTCTATGTTGCCTTGGTTACATACTTGCTATATAAACCAGACTGGCCTAGAACTCACAGAGATCTGCAATCTCTGCCTCCCAAGTGCTAGGATTAAAGACATGTGCCACCATGCCTGGTTTTATTAATTTTTGGAGAGTTTCATACATGCATACAAAGTATTTTGATTATACTCATTCCCCACAGCTCCCCTTAACTCTTCCCATATCTCACACCCCACCCCAAATTTTGTTTTGGTTTGTTTTTTTCCCTTTGTTTTTAGGGAATAGTTTTACAAAAACAGAAAGTATTTGGGAGATAGTAATATTTTAAGATTTTTTTAAGATTTAGTTTTAACTTATGTGTATGTCTGTGTGAGTGTATGCCATGTACATAGGGGTGCTTTCAGAGGCCAGAAGAGGGTGTTGGATCCTCTGGAGCTGGAGTTACAAGCATTTGTGAGCTGCAGACCCGCATGGCTCTCTGGGAGAATGAGAAGCACTCTTGACCACTGAACTATGTTTCTAGCCCCCATAATAAAATTCTTATTCCTTTCTTTTGGTCACTTTTTAAAAAGATGGTTTTATATCTTAGCTCCACTTCTTAAAACTTGTTTCCTGAGGGGATAGCAAGATAGTTGGGCAGGTAAAGAAGGATCGCTTGAGGCCAGAAGTTTGGGGGCCACCTGAGAACTCTATAGTAGTAAGACCTCATCTCTTAGGAAAGAGCAAGTCTCACTGGTCCATAGACATTCTGAAATTCAGCTGTCCAGAAATCCAAATCATGTCGTCAGATCTACCTGTTCTATAAGCAGGAAATACTTCTTGGCTAGGGCCCAATCTTAATACCTAGAAATAGCTTCTTGATTCATCATTCTCTGTAACATTTGCTCTGCCCTTACAGCTGCCTCGCTTTCGATGAAAATTGGTTCACACTTAGAGCTTTGTAATAGTCTACTGTTTGTTTTTTTATTTTATTTTAAAATGTTTTGGGGGGACTGGAGAGATGTCTCGGGGGTTAAGAGCACTGACTGCTCATCCAGAGGATCCAGGTTCAATTCCCAGCACCCACATGGCAGCTCACAATTGTTTGTAACTCCAGAGATCTTACACCCTCACACAGACATGCATGCAGGCAAAACACTAATACACACAAAATAAAAATAAATTATTTTTAAAATATTTTGTATAATATATTTTTATCATTTTCTTCCCCATACAACTTCATAGTCCCTCTCTCTCTAAAAAAAAAAGAAAAACAACAAAAAAGGAAAGTCAAGACAAACTAAAAGGAAAAGTCAGAAAGAAAAAAAATACCAAAACAAAGCAGCACATAGAGTCTGTCCTGTGTAAGCTACTCTGGGCATGGGACCTGACCTGGAGTGTGGTTGATGCACCCAGTGACACGTCATTGGTCACTTTCTGAGTAAGCTTGGCAGGCCTCTTGAGATTGGTCCCCAGAATCTATGTGACTGTGAAAAGAGGCAGGTGGATCTCTGTGAGTTCGAGGCCAGGACAGCCTCCAAAACAATACAGAGAAACCCTGTCTCGAAAAACAAAAATTCAAATAAGTTTTTATGTGTGAGGAAAGGTCTTCCACCTCCATCACAGCTGATCTCAAACTCATTGTGTAGCTGAGGACAATCTTGAACTCCTGATCTACCTCCACCTCCCAAATTCTGGGATGATAAGTACATACTACCATCATCATCATCACTTGCAAGCCACAGCAAGGAGGTCAGAGAACAACTTTTAGAAACAGGTTCTCTCTCCTTTGACTTTACGTGGATTCTGAGGGTCAAAGTCAAGCCTTTACCTGCTGAGCCGTCTTGTCAGCCCACACTTTTAATTTGTTTTTTTTTTTTTCCCTAATACTGTTTCTTAATTTGGGAAATTTTTTTCTGGATACACTGGAAATGTTGAACAATTTTATTTTGCTCTTTTGTTGTGTTTTAAACTACATGCAAATTGAGCAAGTCTCTTTAGTTTGTCTCTCTCTTATATTACATATGCATCCATATACACTGTATGTTATATAGTGAAAGCTAGCCAACACTTCTAGCATCCTACCTGAAATCTCCTTACCAACTCTCTAAGTGTATTAAGTATGGTTTATTTTAGCTAGCAAAAGATGCCTATCTTTCCAGTTACTGCAGGAGAGGTTTTCCAGTAACAGTTTGCTCACTGCCTCTCCAGCTTATGCTAAAACATCAACATTTTCAGCCCCCCACATTGTTCAGACCAAGTTTAGCTTTTTGTTATAGCAACACTGTTAAGTATTTAATTTTCTTATCAAATACCTATTATTTCAGAGCAAGCCATCATATACATGTTGGTATCTCGACAGCACCATTTTATTTTTACATGTCTGAAGTGACTGAAAGGCTCTTGTGCCCTGCCTAAACTCCGTGACTGCCTAAACCAGCCTAAGGTTGTGTGTTTGTGAGCTTTCCTAAAGCTTTCCTTTCGACATGATTATTGATGTTCTGTTGGGCAAGCAAGTAGCACAGCCAAGCCCAGAGTTAATGTGGAGGCTGAAATGGGAGCCTCAAAACCACATTATATTCACATTGAATCATCTAGAGTAGTTAGATTCCAACAGAGTCCCAGCTCCGCATTACTGTGCCCTTGAGAACTCATTTCATTTGTGTGCAACAATTTTCTCCCCTATAATCGAGGATTAATAATACCTATCACGGGGTTGAGGGGAGGCTTATATTTTCAGCGCCTGCTTGCTTTTGTTTTAGTGTGTGTGAGGGGCAGTTTCTGTTCTATGGTGTTTTAAGACAGGGTCTCCCACTACCCCAGGCTGGGCTGGAACTCAGTGTAACTCATGGCAGTCCTCTTTGCTCAGCCTCCCAAGTGCTGGTTCCATGAGCATAGCCACCATACTCTGATCTTAGCTTTTTGTTTTGTTTGTTCCACTTATCACATGATTTTATTCCATCCGATTTCATTCTGCAGGGTCAAAATATTTGGAAGTTTTGTTTGATTATACAAATAATACTTTTATTCTCATACAGAGTATGCAAACTGTAGAAAATATATTGAAGGAGACAGGTATCTCCTACCTTCTCATGAGATATAGTCCTGAATTGTGGACTTAGCGGGCCGTTCAGCCTTATTTCCTACTGAAGGTATATACATCCACTCTCAACCTAGGAGACATGGTCCTGGAGGAAAGAGGCCATGTTTCAGAAAATCCCCTATATTTAGGACTAAAAGAGATCGTGGATGTAAAGTTTTTAGCCTATGCCTTACTCATATTCACATTTAACCTGACGATGTAATTGACAGTTCCCAGAAATCTTAAAGTTAGGTGAAGAAGAAATGTGCATTGAAAGCAAGGTATCTCAGTAAAAACTTGGGTGTAGCGGGGGGTCGCTTCTGGCCATCATTTCTCTGAGACCAGTGATTTGTAGGGTAGAGTAAGAGTAAGGGGGATTACAGAAAAGTTCCAGACTAGTCAGTAGAGAAACTTCTAAAAGCTTTATTAGAAAAGGACACACTCCCCCACCCCCACCCCCCTGAATATACACACCCAAAACCATGTATGCATGGTTTTATTCTTGAGAACTGAATCCTGGCATTGGTCATAAAGTAAAACAATCTTGAATTTTTGTTTGTTTGTTTTTTGAAACAGGGTTTCTCTATGGCTTTGGAGGTTGTCCTGGAACTTGCTCTGTAGACCAGACTGGTCTCGAACTCACAGAGATCCGCCTGCCTCTGCCTCCCGAGTGCTGGGATTAAAGGTGCGAGCCTCTAGCACCTGTTCAATCTTGACATTTATGCAAACCTTTCCTTTATGTTTTAGTCAAAGAAGTTTGGCAGAGATCACAGAACTTATACACACTGCTCTCCTCGTGCATCGTGGGATAGTAAATTTAAGTGAATTGCAGTCTTCTGATGGGCCACTGAAAGACATGCAGTTTGGAAACAAAATAGCTATCCTGAGTGGAGACTTTCTTCTAGCAAATGCCTGCAATGGACTAGCTCTTCTACAGAACACCAAGGTAAAAACAGACCGGCTTCACTGACCCCATGATCTTTCTTGCCTTTCTATCAGACCTGCTGTGGTCTATGAGAAATATGGGTCTTACTTGGAGAAGGGAATGTCTCCACATGTGAAAGTCTGGTAGAGTTTTTGGGTACATTGGGCTGCACCTAATGACCTGTTGGCATAAACAGTGGTCGCAGTGGATTAGACCCTAAGACCCCAGCAGAGGAAATATTCTAGATCTGTTACTTAATTGTACCTAGTCCTGTATTTTGGAAATTAGCCTCAGCATGGTCTTACCTTACAAAAGAAACTAAGGCTCAATGCTTTCAGAAAATGTTCTTTTTGTTTTCCTTTCATTGTCAGTTTGGATTTACTTTGCACTATTCTACCACACTGAATGAACCCAGGGTTTCATACATGACAGTCAAGCATAGCACTATTGTGTGTTATCCCAGCTACTTTGTGCTGTCTTATAAAAGCGCAGAGGTGCCGAAAGTACAGGCATGCCATAATGATGTAAACAAATGATTGTTTACACCACTTCCCTTTGTGGGGATAATATTTTAAATATTATTCTTTTTCTTGAACTAGCCGTGTCAGTCACATATTCTTTCTTCCACCGTGGCTTGAATCCAGTGAAAATGGATGTTTGATTACCATCAAAATCAAATCATTTTCACAGCCTGTGAAATCTGCCTGAGCTTGGTGTTTAGCATTCAAAGGCATCAGTATACATGTTCCAGCACCTAAGACCTCCACCATCTGCTCCATTAGGCACTGGATTTCAGCACCACTACTTGATTTACAAAGAGAAGACCAGGAAAAAGAAAAGAAATCTCAGCATGTCCAACAGCAGTCTCAAGAAACAAGAGTGACCAGGATCCTCCCCTTGGGAACCTCACCCCTCCACAGCCTCTGTGCACATCGCTCCTTCGCACTTGCGTGTATCCAGCACCTCCAGCAAAGAAAGTCCTTTTTAGACAACAGTGTTTCTTCCTGCGTTTGATGGTTGTGTAAACTTAAGCCTTTGCCCATCCTGTGCATCCCGCCTGTTCATTCCAAACGTGGATCTTCTTCGCTTCACAGCTCATTTTCTATGAGAGAACTAGAGTACCATTCATCTCCAAATCTAGGCATTTCATAGCACTCATTTGATCATAATAGATGAGGTCCAAATTGTGTGAACAGTATTGTGAACTGCAGAGACAGTAAGGGGAGAGAGACTACGTGAGTGAGGTCAAGAGTTCTCTTTGACAAATCACCTCCCCATGTTCAAAACCTGCCCTTTCAGTGAAACGCTTGGGACTGTTTTCCTCAGAGCAGTATTTAAAGGGATATAAATATTTTACAGCAGAGGACCTATTTTATTAAACAAGACTTAAAAATGATTACTGTCTTGGTATATTTAGGTTCTATTTACTGTTTTAATTTCCTTTTGTAAGAAAAATTGTCAATAAAGACAAAAACAAATAGACCACACAGTAATGAGGGATCAGGCAGAACGTGATGTAGAATTTGTTTATAATATGTCACTGTTTTTCACACTGACAGCCTGCTTTGGGGGGGGGTATATTTAACTTGATGAGTAAAGTTGTCGTGTTTGCAGCAGTTTTAGTATTCTATGGCTTATTCATTCTACCGGTTTCCAGTTTTCTTCTGGTGGATTTGTGTACAAGCTAATGGTATGTTTCTCTGCCCCTCCAGAGGCAGTATGTTAGCTGAAGGTCTCTGCAGTCAGATGACAGTCAGAGCTGTTTTATAATTGCCAAGGGTAAAATTAGCACAGTCAATTATTCTCTCTTTGGCTTTTCCCTAAAGATATTAGGGGTCTTCTAGGTAATTGCCTTAGGTAACACTTAGATTTTGAACTATTGCTGAATATAGAAATTGGTATATTAATCCTGAGACAGTAGTCTTCTTCTATTATAGATGGAGTCACAAGTACAAATTAACAAGGTTTTGAATTCAAGAGTGACTTTAAAATTAATAATTGAGTTTTCCTTCATTCAGTTATGAAATGTTTTATTAGTACTTCATTATGTAAAAGACCTGAACTAAAAGACCTCAGGCTTTCAAAGTCATGAGTTTCCTCACACCATTGATATAGTTGCTTGTGTAGAATATGCTATAATGTCTGAACATGTGCTCATTCCTGAGTCTAAACTTCTAGTTTTTGGGCATCAAGTTATCACAGAGACATATTAATTAGAGGGGAGTTCATAAAATAGAAACACACTATATAATTTATAACTTAAAGGCTTTTTAAAAAAATGTGTGTGTGGTGTGTAAAATTATGTGTGTATGTACCACATGTATGCAAGAGCTCTTGGAGATGAGAAGAGGCCATCAGTTCCCCTAGAACTGGAGTTATAGATGTTATGATCTACCTTGTAGGTGCAGGAACCAAACCTGGGTCCTCTATAAGAGTAGTAAGAGCTCTAAACTGCTGAGCCATCTTTCCAGCTGCTGTAACTTATCATTACAGGTTTTCTTTGGTGTTTATGCAGACTGGATTTCTATTTTAAGATTATGCCAAAGTACAAATGAGACTATTTTATTTAGGGATTGCTATTTGCCAATCTCTCTCTCTCTCTCTCTCTCTCTCTCTCTCTCTCTCTCTCTCTCTCTCTCTCTCTCTCTCTCTGTGTGTGTGTGTGTGTGAGAGAGAGAGAGAGAGAGAGAGAGAGAGAGAGAGAGAGAGAGAGAGAAGAGAGAGAGAGAGAGAAGAGAGAGTCCTTACTTTATAGTGATAAGCCTGGCATTTAAAGAAATAAATTCACATTGCCCCATAGTCATTTTCATGGAGATGAGAGACTGGAGTCAGCCTGATCTTGTCTGACACCCAAGAGCATTGTTATGGTGTCACTCTTGGGGGCTGTTCTATTAAGCACTAGTGACGTACAGTTCTAAATAACTGGCAGCACAGATGTACTCCTTACAGAATGATATATCTCCTTATGTTAATTTTGTCTTCCTACAGGCATAAATATGCTGTTTACAGGGAGAATTTTGTGTAAATATGTTCAATTTACGCATATAAATCTTTTATATATTTGTGTGTATATTATATACATTTGTGTGTGTGTGTGCGTATTTAGGTGTGTGTACATGTGAGTATGAGAGGGATGGCTGCATACATTTGAAAAGGCCAGATGTCAATGTCAGGTTTCTCCTCAATTACTCTCTACCTAATTTTTATTTATTTATTTACTTCTTTATTTTGAGACAGAGCTCAGTTTGTATCCCTGGCTGACCTAGAACTTACTGTATAAAACAAGTTGGCCTTGTACTCACAGAGATTTGCCTGGCTCTGCCTCCTGAATACTGGGATTAAAAGCATGCACCACCATGTCTGGCCACCCACGCAGGGTCTCCCACTGAACCTGGACCTTGGGGATTGGCTCAACTGGCTAGCCTGTAAGCCCCAGGGAGCCTCCCCTTTGCTGGAGTTCCAGGAATGTTCTGCCACACTGGAATTTTACATGGGTGCCAGAGAGTAAGCCTTCATCATTGCATGGCAGATACTTTACTGGCCAGGCCATCTCCCCAACCCATATATTTTAAATAAATGACTGCTATTGGGGTTTTTTGTTTGTTTGTCCTGTCTTTTATCATTAATTTTACCTTCTAATTTATATCAAAAGTGAAATCTAAAGCCATGCTGTATTATGTGAACTTAAGATTTCCCCTTCCCCTGTCATACGCATTAAATATAGGTACTTCTGAGATTGTAGATCTATATCAATGGTAGAGAGTACTTGCAGACACTAGGCTTTGTCCCCAGCATTCAGGATCAGAGGCCTAAAATGGCATTATTATGACAATGTGCATTTATACCTTTACTAGCTTATTTTACTTGTAGGAATTATTTATTTGGGGGTGGGGCTTTTATGAGACATTGTCTAATGTAACCCAAGACCTCCTCAAACTTGTTTTGTAGCTGATATTGGCCTTGAACTCTTGATCCTCCTGTGTCCACCTACTGAGAATTATAGGCGTGTGCCACTACACATGTAGCATGAAAAATAAAAACCCAGAGATAGATATTGGGGGTCAGATAAGCAAAGCAGCCACTAGCTCTTACCTCTACCTCAGACTGAAAGGGTGATCCTGGCTCCATGAATCCTGTGAGTGTAATGCCTTCTCCACAAATCTTCAGTCTGGAAACTAAATCTCTCCATGAGACCCTTTGTTTCTTCTTTTTATACTTCCCGAGTGCTAGGATTAATGTTGTGTGATCCCAAGTGCTGAAATCACCTTTGTGTGATCTGTTTCTCTTTAGGACTGGATCAATTCCGTGTAGCTCAGTGTGGCATTGAACTAACAGAGACCCATCTGCCTCTATTTTGGATCCTGGGATTAAATGTGTGTGCTACCACCACCTTGCTCTATGGCTAGCTAGTATGACTGCTGGGATTAAAGGTGTGTATCACCACTGCCTGACCTCTATGGTTTGTGGCTAGCTTTGCATTCTGAACCGTCAGGCAACCTTTATTAAATTATAAATAATATATCACCACACACACACTCAGCAATTATTGTGTTAATATGTTAAGCCTCTTCAGTTTGACACCCAAGATTAATGTTCTGCCCTGCATATAACCCACTTGTACATAGATATTCATGGCTAGAGTAAACTTGCACAGAAAGTAAGTAGACTATTAGGTATTATAATAATGAAAGACCTTCTCTATGTCAATTAAAAGTCAAAATACCACCATGAAAATACTTCAGAATTCCAAAACAAATTATTTCTTCTGCTTTTTCCTTATCATTTGCTAACATAGATACATATTAAATAGACTTCATTTTCTGAGTCTGCATGTTAGTATATGTATATTAGCATATAGTCTACTAAAAAACTAGAACGAGAACTACTATCTGTCTTTTTAAATGTATTATGTCATTAAAACCTTTAGTGAAAACAGTGTAATATAGTATTTCTTTGGCAGATCAAGCACCTGCCATCATGTAAAGTGAATGTTTCTTTCAAGGTCTGACAAATTGGAAATC